TTTTCTTTCACGACAGAGTTTTTTTTTTTGGTATCGTTTTAGTTGATGACGTGAATATAAAAAGTTAAAAAAGTCCGAAATGATTTTTTAAAATAAAGAAAAAAAAATATTTACTAAAGAAAAAATTGAAAAAATTGTCCAAAAAAAATGTCTAAAAATGTCAAAAAATGGGATTAAAATGGAAATATTTTTAAATATGGAATATTTTTTTTAAAATGGGAATATTTTTTAAATGGGAATATTTTTTTAAAATGGAATATTTTTTTTAAATATGGAAATATTTTTGATTTTTAAAATATTAAACGATTTAAAAGTTTTTAAATATCGATAGTTGTTGAAATTAGGCGAATTAAATTGCAGTATAGCCCATACGCGAATAAAGTAAAATAAAGGCCGGTTGGATAGATTGTGGTATAAAATAAAAAGTTATACCCACAGAAAAAAAAAAAACGGGGAATATAAAAATAATAAAAAAGAAGCGATTCATTAATTTCCATCCTGAAAAAGCAATCCCACCATCTCGCAAGGATTATTAAAAATTTTAATTGTTTTTTGTTGTAACGCGTTGATGAAAAAAAATTTTTTTCGAAAATAAATGTTATTAACCCTTTAAGGGTACTCTATTATATAGAGTCGGTATAATAACCCCTACCAACCACAGTCGCAAAATATTGATGGATTGGTTTAAAAAGATGCCAGTAAATTTCGAATCAAATAAAAAAAATAATTATACGAAATCGAAACACGGTATAAATTAGGTATTCGAAATTAAATCGTCATTTTTGTCGAGAAAAAAAAATTCGAAATTCCTGACACAGAATGGTCCATCTCACATGCACGTTCATGAATCATCCAGTAAGACATTTAGATAAGACGTCTTAAGTTATATAATAATAAAAATGTGTCCGTCTCACAATATAAAGAGGTCTCAAAGTCTCGAGATTCGTGAATATTTGCACTCGGTGAACGACGGGTTTTTAGTGGTAGAGGTTACTTTATACCGAAAGAAAAAAAAAATAATCTAAATTAATCTTTTGATTGTGCTCTCACAAGTTATATCCGATTCGGTTGTTTTTGATATCGTGACGGAATTAATTCATGTTTCGGAGGACTTGTATACGTGGTTGAACACAGAATTAATATATATCGAACAGAAAATAATTCAACTAAAAAGAAATCTCCCATCCCCAAATTTGTTCAAACATTGTTGATTCTGAAAATAATCGGAGAAATTTCGTGGTGGTGGAGGAAGAGAATCTTTTTTTTTTAGAGAATTCACTTTTTTTCCGTTTCGTTTTTTTTTTTCGAATTAATTTAATATATAGTTGCCTTAATTAATAATAATAAATAATTAATTTTAATACAAAAACATAAAAAAAAAAAATATTACAAATTATTACAAATTATTTATAAAAAATAATTAATTAATTTTACTTACAAAATTAGAAAGCAACTGTTTCGTTAATAATTATAGTGGGATATGCTAGACGGATGGATGGAATTATTTTTTTTTTTTTTATAATGGGCGAACAGCCGCCGAATTTTTATCGGATGAAAAAGGAGGGGGTTTATATAACTTTAGGAAAAAAAAACTTCAGGGTGACTTCTTTACCATCTAAGGAATGATCAAAGTGATAAACAAACACCCCCAAGAATAATCTTTTTTTTCATGATTGTGTTATGATGCAAATATGCAATTGGTTTATTTATGCCGGCGAATTCCTTTGCCCCAGGAACCGCCTGAACCGCCTGGAAACAATCAAGTTGAAAATCAATAAAAAAAAAAAAAAAAACGTTTAACAAACACACCAAATAACGTCATTGATGTTGGTGGTATACAATTGAGAAAGTTTTCATGTTTATGCTATTATT